AGAGAGAGAGAGAGAGAGAGATATGTTCTTCAGACAGTCAGATGTCAAATCTTGTTCTGTTTTCAGCTGGTGCACACAAAGCAGTGCTTGCCGGGACTACATTTTTCCTGTACTGGATTATTAAAGCCGTCATTACATAAACAACTTCAACCAATTCGACACATCGCTTTGTCCACAAAAGTCATCAAACCGAACCGGTCCACAACGGAACCATTTTTCGGCGCCACTACAATGATCACTAAAAATAAACAGGATGTGATCTGGTATTGTTACTAAAAAAACGTCAGACGCTGTATATAGTTCAGATGGCAGAATTTAAGAACATTCCTTTCCATGTCAACCGATTAAACAAGATCTTGTGATTCTACTAAGCAGCACCTCAAATCAACACGACAGACAATTTCAGAACAGAAATATTCAGTGCTTTAAAAAAATATGGTTGCTTCAGATCGTAAAACACTGCTCCATCAATCAAGAGTTATAACTTTTATGCGAAAGATTATAAAAAAAATCTGTAATTTTTAATACTGTATTCTTTTAATTGCACACTAAAATGGCGACGGAACGAAATATATATTTTAATTTGTATGCTAGTAAGCTCCTATAGATTGCATGATAAATATCTCTAATCTGATGTGTTACAAACACCGCACAAATGTTACAGGAAACACGTTTTTTTTCTGTGTTTCTGTGAGCTCTGAGCTGTAAGATCTTGTGTATGAGCTTGGGGGTCTTCAGATCGAAAATACTAATTTTAAAGATAAATTTACAGATAAATAACGAGGTTATAGGCAGGCGTAATAAGGGCAAAGGCGAAGAAACTTTCAGACATCAACGGGAATTCGCTAGTTGCGAGTGTGCTGGTGTTTTAGTTTATTGATCTACAATGTGCGTGTCTTAAGATTTCTTACAGTAAGCTCACTGGTAGAAGAAAAGTAAATTTATTTCGGGTAATGGCAGTCCACGTGTTTTTTAATACGTCTCGGTCACTGGAGAACTTTACTGTCGGAAAAGAGAGAAGTTCGTTCAGTCGTCGCAAAGGTCTGGTAGGCAAACGACGGCCGCAAGATGGCAGTAATGCAGAAGCTAGTCTTCATTTCTTACATTCTATTACTTCTAAAGATTGAAGGTATGTATGCACGCACAGTAAGCAAATCATTTAGGTCCATTTTAGTATTTTATTTATAACCACTTAGTAGTGAAATTCCAGAGGTCCTTGCTGTCTCTATCATCAAGACGATCATCAGAGTCCTCAAGCACCTCTGATACGTCGGTAAACGTCTACCAGGCTACAAGGAGAAACAACCCAGAAGACATTCTTCATACTCACAGCAGTGAGAACCTGATATCTCACCCAAAAAGTGTACATGGTACCGGAATTAAGAAGTGTAGATTAATTTACGTCACAGTGATTCTAGACCAGTGGTATTCAACCTTTTTTGTTCGCGTACCCCCAGATATACTTTCTCCTCAACTTTATACCTCCAAAGTTATACATAGTACATAATCTACATCTAAAATAAATTAAATAAATTACATTACTGATTATTCAGTGTTTATCATAAAATAATATATTTTTTTAAATTTCACATATCCCCTAAAATGTCTTCGCGTACCCCAGGTTGAATACCACTGTTCTAGACTATAGGTTAAATTGGCTATAGACATACTTATTTGCAATTATTTTAAGCATTAGTCTTAAATAAGTTTTAAAAACTGCGTTAACGTACGCCTAGGCCTATGGACAAAGGCTGTCATATTTGTTTCTACGTAAAGCTTTTTGTTGTCATGCCAACAGGACGTCATCAAATTTTAATTTGTAAACACGATAGAAATAAATCACTTAAGAGACCTAAATGTACATGGAACGATAATATTAAGATTACTTTTAAATACAGGGTGTCGGGATCTGAAATCATGTGGGTCAGAAATGTGGTCCAGTGGCAGGGTTTTGTGAACGCAGTAATAAAACTTTGGGTCCCATAAAATGTAGGGAATTTCTTAACCAGCTGAGCTACTAACAGTCTCAAGGAGGACGCTGCTCCATGGAAGTTTTCTCGTCTCTGAGTGAACAAACGCTTTTGTATATGGTATTTAAAAGTCCAGTCCGTACCGCAAAGAAAACACAACACTTCACCGTTGCAAAGATTAATTGGTTGACGCTGTTTAATGAAATAAAGCAGGTGAGACAGAAAGGCTTTAAACAGTTTTAAATCAGGCGGTACATATAATTACCACTGGCTAAAGAACATGTAAGCATGCTCAAAATTTTCGTTTTTGATCAGGGCCCTAATTGCGCGTGTCTCGTGAAACAGATCTGCGTTAAATGAAATTTTCTCTCGCCGCAGGATGTAACTTCAAAAGCATCGGAGGAGGATCCTTCATGCATAGAAGTGGTTCTGCCAGCCAGGAATGTAAGTATGCATGGGGCACAGGCCCCCCCCCACAAGTCTTTTTGTTTTTTTTTTTTTTTTTGTATCGAAATAAAAATAGTTGATAACTAATCGACTCCAACTGAAAATCCAGTCCTGAAATCAGACCACAAGAACGGAATTACAGTTTACATATCCCCCCCTCCAAATTTCACAGCTAAGACTCCGCCCTCTAAACCCCCTACCCCCCAATCCCAATTCAAAAGCTTCAGGTAAAAGAACTGTGATTGGCTAGTTGGGGTGGCATCAGGAAGGGGTGTCTTCGTATCATTGTCTTCCTGCCATTTTGATTTATTTTTGAATAATCATTCCGGGGCCAATGCGTCATTAAACTCCTCCCTCCGATGTACATGTGTCCTTGTTTCTTTAACAGAGACGCGTATAAACTAGACATCCTTTTCGGAACGATTCTCACGATGGAATGGTTTGTTGCAATCTGTCTGTGTTAATGGCTCGCACCCGAGGACGAAAACAGATCCATTTTCCGAAACGTCGTGTTCTGCTTTAAATATCAACAATGGACAAGTCGAGAAACATTTCATTAGCAAACGGAACTTAAACACGTAACTAATATTTGGAAGCCTAACCAGGTTTCAACAATGCGGTTCGTTAACCCAACAAGAATATATTACTTAACCTAATCTACTTCCTTTCTGATCTATGGGTTTATAATTTCGTCATAACATCAGCACGCTATAATTTTTTTTATCTTACGTTCATATGGACCTATTTCTCATTTATGCTGCACTCTAGTGGTAGAAATTTAAACTAATAATCATTAGCGTGGATCGACAAAAGTTTGCTGATAGTAGATAATCGAGAAACAGGTATGCCACAGCGAAATGTTTCTTGATATATCTAAAGTGATTTCTGTCTTAGAGTAATGGATTTGTAATTCGTGACATGGATTTTCTCATTTACAGTTCTTTCCTGAGTCTTGTAGCAACAATTAGAGCCAGACCAATGCTAACAGAGCCTCACGTACGTACAATTCAAACGGAATTTGAAGGTTTAATGAGATCCAAACCCATTATAACAAAGATTTTCACGCGCGGTGGGTGTTCGGATTTTAGTCCTTTATGTAGGCGATACGTTACTCCGAAACGTCAGCAACCACCTATCGAAAACCTAGTCTAGGCCTTGGTAACTTAATTTAGATTCGGGCTCCATGAAAGACGGCGAATAACATGACCAGCTTTCCTACTATCAGCATTTCAATAAATGCTGATCAATGGAGAGTGTCAGATACTCCAGAAGACGTAGCATTTGATTTGATTTTCGTCAATCTGAGTTACATCGAACCCAATGTAAATAAAATCGTCAGCTTTTACTGTACGAATTTAATACCAACCATACTTCGTGAAAATTACCTGCTTTCGGTAGGCGTAACACGTCCAGGCCCAGGGGGGGGGGGGGGGGGGGGGGGAAGCTACGCTTGAGGAACCAAATAACACGCTACTTACAGACAATTTTGAGTACCCTGGCACATATGCATCGCCCTTAGAGCTGTAAGAACAACTTACTACACAGCGCAATAACCCAGAAGACAGAAATCTTCATACTCACCGCTGTGAGAACCTCAAGTCTTACAACAACTTATGTACATTAACGTTTCCTTTGCAGACCTTACAAAGCATGAAAGTTTATTAATTAGTTCATTTAATTAGGCTACGTCGGCTTAACACTGTGTTCTTGCGATCCACAGCCCTGGGCAAGTTAAGTGTGGTTAGTAACCACTGGTTTTTAATGAATCAACCAACAGCTGTCTGTAAGCACGCTCCAAATCCATTAGACTTCGTCGTCCCTGTATGCAGTTCGCCATTAACCCTGGTCTGTATTTATCGACATGCGATAATAAACTTTGACTTTACCTAAGACATTTCATTGTCTCCAAACCGCGAGCTTAAAGCGAGTTGCAACTACAACAATTATCTACATGCCTTTAAACATTCAACTTTTAAGCGTAGCCCGTTCAATAACTTGCATTTCTTAGAATCCGTGTTCACAAACATGCCTAGAACCCAGTTACTATACTTGACAACAATAAGGTTTTGATTTCATGTCTGACAAGTGTTATTTCGTGGCTAACCCGCCTGGTATCACGCCTTCAGTTTATCGATCTACGTGGAGCGTGTTAGCGGGAAGCAGTCTACAAATTGTCGCGATACACAAAGGTTCGCTTGTGGCGTTTTCTCTGTTTCGTACTCAGTTTCTTGAAACAAGTATTTCACGCGACTCTAGAACTTACTTTCAAATTAAATGCTTAAAGCTGAGTCAGTCCAGTTGGATCTAAGATAACACAACGCACGGAGTTTAACTGAAACTGTCATAATGAAGGCTGTCTGTCTCATTGCTTTTATTTTGTTGACAATGAAGATTCAAGGTACGTCTTTATTCTCATTGTTGAAATAATCTATTCGCTAAGCGATAAGCTATTAAAATTACGAAAGAAATTGCGATGTTTACACGTGTCTTCGAGTATCACAATCAACTTTTTTCATTGTTGTGAGAATCTTTCTAAAATAAGTAAATTTGTGTAGTTAATGCAGAAAACATTTGTAAAACTGACACCAGTTACGAAAATTAAAGGTCATAAGATAAAAAGTAATTAAGTATATTAATTTCTTCCTTCATTTGAGGTGTAAAGACAAAATATTTATTTTTAAAAGAAAATTTAAAAATTTCCAGGTTATAGAAGCAAGAGTACCGGTGGATCCAGATTTGTCAATCTGAATCGAGACTGTAAGTAGCAACAATGGGATGCATTCAATATAAAATAAACATTTCTTCATTTTGCTGACGTTTCACAGATAATACAAACGCCACGTCTGCTTTAAAGTAGTCGCAGTTTACAATAATGCACACTGCATTGAAAAATATAGGGCGAGACGTATTAAAATAAATATTCCCCCGCAGAGAACGTTAATAAATCTCACTTCTGTGCATGAATACTTAACGCAATTGGAAGTCCAGAGCCTTGAAATTTCACAACTAAGTTCTAAATTTCTAAATTCATAGGCAGTGTTAATCTAATAATTTTGAATAATTTTTGTCGTCGGCAAAGGGTAGGCCTATCGTCCACATTATATTCTGCGGGCATAATTAGGGAATATCTCAAATTAGTTAACTAGCTGATTGATGA